GATTTTAGACCAAGGTTCAACCCACCTGTTCGAAACATGCCCAACACATCCTAGAACTCAAACAAATGGAATTAAAGGATGACAACAAGATAGATACAACTACCAACTTCATGGAACTGAGTTCGGAATACAACAAAACAGTAAAGGGAAATATTTTACCTAATAAGTCTTAAAATAAGAACGAAAATTATATTCAAATTATGGAAATTAGATTCAAATTGGTGAAATGACTACACGGATCACTCCTCCCTATATATTGTACCAAACCATGCCTTTATAGTTTTGTTGCCTTTTCCTCTTTGCACAGAGCCCCTCTCTCTCTCTCTCTCTCTCTCTCTCTCTCTCTCTCTCCCTCTCAAACATGGCCAAGTCGCAGAATTGCAAGTTCAAGTGTTTCTCCGACATCCTCTGCTGCCTTCTCTGCATCGGCAGCCTCCTAACCCAACCATCCATCCCTACCACCGACATCCCTACCACCACCACCACTACTTCGAAAATCCAAAACAGAATTTCAAAATCCAAGTCAAGACCCCGGGAGTAGTCGCAAGACTCATGGGTCTAGACTCACTCCCAGACCCTAGGAAGGCTTTTAGGAGAAAGGAAGATCAGAAGGAAAACTGTGGAGTTTCTGTGTTTCTCTGTTTTAATTTGTTTCTGTGTTTACATATCTAAGCGTAGTTTCTGTGTCTACATAGCTAAGTGTATGTTTGTAACAGTACACGTTGACGGACGACCACCGAATGTTATTGCCAGATTGATCGGTCTTGATGGGTTGCCTTCTCGGCAGCCTCTTCATAGACAACATAAAGGGTTCTCGAAAACTTATCGACAATGGACTGCATCAGTATCATCGCAAAGGGATGGAAAACCATATGAACTCCGATCAAATAGGAAAGACTCAATGGGGCAGCAAGAATGTAAGGATGAATATGAAGTTTTGGAAACATCAAAGGTTGAGAGGAGTAGTTACCAGCAAAAAGGACTATAAACTCAAAGCTGTCTGAGGCAGAGATGGCGTTCATTCAACAGAAGTTCATGGCTGACCATGGTTGGCTTCTTGCTCAACTAATTTTTTCAGTTGTATGATATATGGACTGCCCAGTTTTGTTGACTTATTAGCAGTTTTCATGGATCAAATTGGCAGTCTGTTTTTTGTTTTTTGTGTTTTTTTCTGTTGAAAAAGGTGGTTTTTCTTTCAAAAGGATGCTACAAGTTTATCACAACGGTGTTTAGGCCCAATACAAACTGGCTGGCTGGTCCAGTCTGCTTTTAAAAGATTCAAAAGGACACATCATGTAATTAAGAAGTGGTTTCCAAAATGCCCTCAAACATTTTTTTTGAAAGTTGTGAAAATTTTGAAGACTCATGTTTTTTTTTTTTTTTTCAGTGTATGTGTTCATAATACTGTTCCTGATTGGAAACCACAAAACATAGAGCAGAAAATAGTGTTATGGTGCTTCCTAGAAAATGGTTATCTAACTCATTTCTAAAAAAGTTTTTGAAAATAACAAACTAATTCATCTTCGGTTTAGATATGTCCTATTATTTGTGGATCCATGTTCTCAGTTTTTTCTTTGATTTGTAATTTGTTCACCAATAACATATTTTATTTACTTGTACTTGCAGACAGGATTCTGAGTAAAATAGGTGAAGGTTAGTTTTTCATTCAGCTTCTTTCATTCTCCCTTTATTTGTTCCTTTCCTTCTTTTTTTTTATTTATTATTTATTTTTGTTATTAATATGAGTCTTCTAGACATTGGTATTAATATGAAACACTCACTTTTTGGGTTGCATAAACTTTCAAATTGACATTCCATAATCCCATCGTTTTTAATTCATTCGACTAATTAAATCCATGTGGTAATATAATTGCAGGGACTTTTGGGCAAGTCTTGGAATGTTTAGACAATGAGAACTTGGAACATCTAGCTATGATGGAGAGGTTGTTAGGGCCACTACCACAGCATATGATTATTAGTGCAGAGTAAGATCTGTTGTTTTTGTTTGTTTATTTCATACTATTTATTTGCTTCATCCCATGTATAAAGCTCTTATTCGTATTTTTACAGCTTTCGTGCTGAGAAATATTTCAAGAGGAGTGCATGCTTGGATTGGCTAGAGGGTGCAAGCTCCAAAGAAAGTACGAGGGCAGTTTGGAATTTACCCCGCCTACAGGTAATTGGTAGATTTGTTTATTCTGAACTGCTATCAGAATCGTATGTAGCGGGTACTAATTCATCATCATTTCCTTTGTTCTCGCTAGCCATTTTGCTCTAAGTGTTTTGTTTCAAATATTCCTTTATTATAACATAGAGTATAGATAAATTAAAATTGTTGTATTAACAATTAATAATTAAATTACGCCTTGTTATAAAAAAAAATGACATAGTTATAATATTTCACTATTTTAGAATAAAAATATATGAATTTTAAAAATTTTTTATATTGATTTTTGAGAGGAAAATAATTAAATAAATTTGAAAAATTTAATGAGTAAGAAATAATCATTGTAAAAAATAAAATTTCGAAATACTCTACCATATAATAATAAAATTGGTTGATTTATTTATTGAAATATACTGTTGACATCAATAATAGCTGTGAATAAATAATTTATTGGTAAAATGACCATTTATTATGAAGTAAAAAACTTGAAGGGACATGATATAAGTTTTAAAATCACATGAAATAATTTATATTTTAAATAAATTTCGGATGTGTATTTATAATTTATCCATTTATTTAATTACTTAAAAAAAAATAACTCAACATGTTTTACATATAATTAACACATAAGCCATGTCATGGTATCAGAAAGGATTTGGCTTCTTGGAGATTAGCTTGAGAGCTTCTCTCTCTAAATTCTAGAGAGAGAATGCTCCCTCTGTTGTTGCCCATGGAGTTTATGAGGGTGAACTGTCCGATTATCTTTCTCACCCCTTGAGGGAGAATGTATACTGTGTGAGTTACCAGTCCGGTGAAATATTTTCGGCTGGTTGTTTTCCATAGAGTGAGTTTTTTGTGAGTTTGGGTTGGTGCTGTTTCAGTGCCTCATTTGTTACAGCCAAAATTCTTTTATTGGCTGGAGTGATATTCTATTCATGTCTGTTCTGTCCAGCTTGGGTCAAGATGGGAAGTTCTGGTCATGTTGTGAAGTCGTTGCTACCGGTCTTCTACGAAGTCGGTGTGTGTTCTTCGTGATAGTTGCGAGGGTGTATTCTGGTGACTTTTCTTGGCATTGCTCGAAGTTGCTGGTTGTGTTCAGCTTCGTCTCCGACGCTACATGATGATGAGCTAAATTTTCTAGGTGTGCAATATGCGTTGAGGCTCCAGCTATTTTCAGGAGATTTTTATTCGGTTTTCCAACGTTGGTGTTCAGGTTCCAGATTGTTAGCGTTGTGGTGTAATTTTGCTTCGGTGAGGAGGTTCAGTGGTCCATGGCTTGCTGCTCATCAGCTTGCTGCAAGTCCGGTCGTTGATCTGTAGCAAAATGATGGTGGTGATCCACGCGCGTGTTGCGTGTTACAATGGTGCTCTAGCCAAGCTAGCACGTCTGCTGGTATAGCTGGTTGCATAGGGTAAACTCCTCTGCGTGTGTGGTACGTTTGTCTGCACGTGGAGTGCTTTTCCCGCCTAATTAGCCTTGGGCAATGGGCAAAAGTTTGGAAACAGTGCGCTGGTTTTCTAAATTGGTGGACTAGTTTTCAATTTTGTCTCTTGTCGTGATATATTGTCACGTGGGTTTGTCATTTGAGGAGTGAGCTGTTGATTATTATTATAAATTGCTTTTGCAAGTGGTAACGGTCAATGGGATTTGGAGTGGGCCGTCCGTGGACCACCTATTTTCAATTGGCTGAATGTTCTAGTGGGCCACGGTTTTATGATGGACTTCAATACATATATATTTCGTGGGCCCTAGATTGTCACGTGAGTTTGTCATTTGAGGAGTGAGCTGTTATTTATTATTATAAATTGATTTTGCAAGTGGTAGGGCCCACTAGCACTATTTTTTATTTTTTATTTTTTATGGGAAAATTACCATGTAGTCCTATGTAGGGGATCTATTTCCCTTCTAATCCCAATTTATTTTTAATAGATCAATAGGTCCACAGTTTTTTAAGTTTTATACCCAGAGGTCCCGTTTTTTATTTTCATATTTCTAAATGACTGTATTACCCTTTGTTTTGAGATCTATATATACGTGAAAAATCAAATTTTTGCTCCATTTAAAAAAAGGAAATCAAATCTTCGTCTCCGTGATCTCGATTTCTCTTCGTTATGGCGATCTCATTGTGCTGTGTGGTCGATCTCATTGTGCTGTGAGGTGGATCTGGTTGTGCGATTTGAATCTCTGTGTACAGGCGATATCTGCGTACGTTCTCTCTCTCTTTCTCTCTCTCTCTGGTGATAGATATATGTATGTGTATGTATGTATCTGTCGATACATAGATATACATATATATGTATATATATATATATGTCTGTGTGTGTATGTGGTTTGTATTTGTCGATATATATGTATGTATATATAGATAAGCAAATTTGCGTGATATGTGGTTTGTGTTTGGCGAATTTTGTTTGTTTGATTTTGATTTTGTTGATTTTGTTTGTCGTATAGTGTAATGTGTTTTGAAGTTGTATTTTGAAATTGTGAATTCTGGTGTTTTGATACTGATATGTTGTAAGTGTATAATTTTGCAATTTGGAATTGTAAATTGTGCACTGTTGGTATTGATATGTTGTAACTGTATAATTTTGCAGTTTGGAATCTGTGAACAATTGTTTGTTGGTTTGTGATTTTGTAGTATGGAGCGGTGTTTCATGTTAATGTGCAAATACAGTAATTGTTGTGCTGCTATTAAGATTAGTGAGGGATGTAGTTGTGATGAAGTTGTTGAGAAAATATGTACGAAGTTCAAGGAGTTGAGTGTTGGTAACTTTTGTTTGTTTTTCTCTGTTCCTGGATATTCTAATTGTATTGTTGAATGTGATGATGATTTGGGGAATATGCTGTCAATGGTAGGTGGTGGTGGTTGTCATGTTGTTGATGTTATTGTGGGGGATAAGAGAGTTGTGGAGGTTGATGATGGTAATTCTTGTAGGATTGATTCTGTAACTTGTGAGAGTTCTTTTGTGAATGATTGTGATGATGTTGGTGGTTTGTTGCGTAGTTTATATCCAGAACCAGAGAGAGTTTTGTTGTCTGCTAGTTGGAAGGGGATTATACATAGTGTTGGTCAAGAATTTGAAGGTAGAGTGCCGGGGTTCCGCATTGCATTGGCTAAGTATGCAGTTGAGTGTGGTTTTGCAGTGAATTATTTGAAGAACGATGCAACAAGAGTAACCACTGAATGTATGATGAAGTCGTCTACGGGTTGTAAATGGTTTGTGTATGGAAGGGTGTTGATGGATTCTGGTGTTTTTTTTATAATGAAGTTGGATAATGTGCATACTTGTGGGGATGTTGCTCGTAGATCTTGTAGCAAAATGGTTGGTTCTAGACTTGTGTTTGATATTGTGCAAAATGATATTAGTGATAATCCGTTGACTCGTCCTATTGAAGTTAAAAAAAAGTTGAAGAAGCAATATGGTATAGATGTTTCTTATCGGGTTGCATGGTTAGGAGTTGATAAGGCAAGAGGTGGGTTGTTTGGTGATTTTGTAACTTCTTTTGACCAGCTTCAATGGTACCTTGAGACGGCTATGAGAACGAATCTGGGAAGTGTGTTTGAATTAGATGTGGATGAAAGTAGTGGGCGTTTTCGGAGGTTGTTTGTGGCATTTCATGGATGTTTGTATGGCTTTCAATTTTGTCGTCCGTTGTTGTTGGTTGATGGTACATTTTTGAAGGGGCGTTACAAGGGGCATTTGCTTGCAGCAACATCAAAGGATGGTAATCAAGGTATGTATTTATTTGCAGTTAGTATTGGTTTAGTTTGTCAGTGTGTTATTGTATTGTGAGTCTGCTAATTTTTGCAATTTCATGTGGTTTTGTTTGCAGGTTTGTTTCCTTTGGCTTTTGCGATTGTTGACGCTGAAAATCAAGATAATTGGATGTGGTTCTTAAGTCAGTTGTTGAAGGCTGTTAGTTCAGGCCGGAGATAGACTTTTGTGTCGGACCGTCAACATGGATTGCTAGACGCTCTTTCAGTGGTTTTCCCCAATGCACATCATGCTTATTGCTTGAATCATTTGAAGAGAAATTTGATTGACAAATTGGTGGGACTTCATATTAACTATAAGCTGACTTTGATAAAAAATATTAGTTAAATGTGCTTATGCGCCAACGGTTGCTTCTTTCCAACATTATATGGAGAAATTGAGGCGTATTGCTGGGAACGGTAGAGTTGATAGTATGTTGGATGGGTTGCAAAATGATAAGTGGGCCAATGCATTTTTTAGAGGGAAACGATATGGTGAGATGTCATCTAATGCTGCCGAGTCTTACAATAATTGGATTGGTGGGGCCCATGAGTTGTTTATTACTTATATGGTTGATATGATTAGGGTTCAAATCATGACTCAATTGTCGGATAGAAGAGCTGAATCTAGAAGATGGACTACGAAATTGTGTCCAGTTATGGAAAAGAAGTTGGTGGACTCTTTGGAGCTAGCTAAGTCTTGGGATGTGATTGTTGCTAGTGATACTGTGCTTGAGGTTCATTCTTCTATTTCTTTTTATGTTGATATTGGTAGACAGACTTGTTCTTGCCATGAATGGAAATTGAATGGTTTTCCTTGTTATCATGCTGTGCATGCTTTGCGTAGTAGTGGTAGAGATGTGTATGGTTTCATTGATCCTTTTTTTCATGTAGATTGTTTTAGAGAATCATACAAGGAATCTGTTTATCCAGTGCCTTCAAGTGAGAGATTTGACTTTGATGGTGCCAGTAGGACCCTCCCAGTGAGGGCACAACTGTAATAAGTGTGGGTGAGTGTGATGTATGTCTTCCAACCCCACGTCTTTCTCCCTTTTATTTATCCGCT